TGGATTTCAGCAGCAACAGCACTGTATGTGTATTCCTAGTCTTGGGATTGAGAACTATGCAATAGTACCCAACACATGGCCAGCACAGATGGAATATGGATACAATTTGTGGATGGGCATGCATCTTCCAATCTAGTCTGTGATTGGGAATGAAGACATGGAACATGCCAAGAAATGGCCTATGCACAACTAGCTACCCTTTGTCTATAGATGCATATACATAAAAAGCGAATATACATATGGGCACTGGTACTGGCATGAACACACCAGCAAATTGTGTATATCATTATTGCATTGAAGAACAATGAACGCATTCTCTGAACACTTGAAATGAATGGGGTTTAAGCGAGATGTACAGTCAAAATAGACATACCATATGAATCACACAGATATAATCAATTGAATTACACAAGTCTTTGGCTTGTCTTGAAAATAAATATTTCACATACTGGACATAGTCTAGTGCAGGCATGGGTAAACACTGACCCTCCAGGTGTTTTGGATTTCAACTCCCACAATTCCTAACAGAATTGTGGGAGTTGAAGTCCAAAACACCTGGAGGGCTGAGGTTTGCTCATGCCTGGTCTAGTGTATCTATGTGTCTACTTCACTGTATGTCTTGGCTCTCCTTCATGTCATCAGTTGATCATTTAGTCACCTTTTAGCTTCAAAGAATTCAAATGATTAGCTAGGAAGGAGCTTTCTTACAATTCCAGCCACAAATTGGTTCCTCCGGAATTCTTGCAAGATAAATTGACCCTGATGCAAGAGTTCACCTGGTTTAGGGATTCATTTGATAAGGCACAACCCAAATGGAAGCAGTAGAACTTCTGCATTGGCCTCAAGAAATAAATGCATGTGTATATTTAAAAAGAAAAATGCTTACTTTGAAGCGACTGACAATGATTTTGGTGAAAATAATTACAATCACAAATTCAGGGGCTCTCATAAATGTAGATTGAAGTCACAAGTACCTTATGAAGGTGTCCTTTTTTCCTTTTGTATTTGTGCCTCATACACAAATACATACAACATGGCCTCCTAAACCTTGTGACATCTGACTTAAAAGTGGGCAGATGCTCCTTATTTTCAAAGGAGGCTTTTGTCTTCCCCAAAATCTAAAATGAAAGCAGAATTAATTAATTCAGCTTGAGTGAATTAGACCCAATAGAACCAGAGGTCCTCAAACTTTTTAAACAGAGGGCCAGATCACAGTACCTCAAACTGTTGGGGGGCCGGATTATAATTTGAAAAAGACATGAACGAATGCCTATGCTCATGCACATATATTATTTGCAGTGCAAAAACACTTAAAAACAATGCAATAATTAAAATGAATAACCATTTTAACAAATATAAACTTAGAATTTCAACGGGAAGTGTGAGCCTGCTTTTGGCTGATGAGATAAGATTGTTGTTGTTGTTGTTGTTGTTGTTGTTGTGTGCTTTCAAGTCATTTCAGACTTAGGTTGACCCTGACTGAGGGCCAGGTATCCGGCCCCAGGGCCTTAGTTAGAGAAACCCTGCATTAGACTGTCCTTATGAGCTGAAAAAAGAGACCAGGATGCTAAAAAATCCCACAGATTAAAAGTGTCACAGAAATAGCAAACACTACTTAATTACAACCAGTAACACAGGCTTGCGAAGAAAACACTCCCCCCCCCCCCAATATTGGTACTTATTTTATGTATTTGGGATGCTGAATTAAAAAAAAAACACACACACAATCAAAGTGTTGTACTACATACACAGGGTTCTTTCAGAAATTCATTATTTTTGTCAATGCAGTCCTTATTTGGTTTTGCTTTTAAGTGCGGGCTTTGATGTGCATTTCCATGTTTTGATGTGCATTTCCATGTCCATGTTTTGGACATATTTTTGTGTTTCATATCACTGCACTAAGCTATGAGGAAACTTTAATCCTTTACTTAGGGTTTACTCTTTACTCCACAAAGGAATCTTGTTACAAAATTTAAAAAATTAAAAAAAACTGGAAGCAATAACAGTATATGATGGCAATTTTCCTATACATTCCTGTAAAACAAATATAAATACCTGTTAGTGAGACACCTTTAAAAACACTTGTAAACAAACATGTTATGGAGTTAATCTGAGCTACTGTTTTGGATCTGGGAAGGCCAAATTCCTACAAAACACCTGTTAGAAAGCCTTCAAAGGCTTGTAGAGGATAGGTGTGTATTCTTGGACACTCTGAACAGACTATCAGTTGATCATTTAGCTCTTTTAGCTCCAAAGAATTAAAATGGCGAGCTTTGCTACAGCAGTTTTGCAGGGATGTGTAGATTTGTATATGGCAGCTGTGTATGTTTTAAGGTGAAAAGAAGCCCTGGAAAGGTTTTCTTTGAGAGAAGTCTCACCTCAGAGAGTCCTGAACAAAGGAAAGCTTGCCACAGTACACTTTTGGTGTCCTGGTGGTCAGGCCCGTAGCCAGGATTTCGTTTCGGGGGGGGGGGGGGGGGGAAAAAATTTTAGGGGGGTTTCGGGGGGGCTGAGTTTCGGGGGGGGGGTGAGTCTGAGTGAAAGAGGGTCTAGCCTAGCAAACCTTTTATATCATTACCCCAATACCCCCATGCATATGGGATATATTGAGTATGGTGATCAGATCATGATATGAATAAACATAACAGTTTAAATAATGCACCAGTAAGGCCTTTTCGCGAACCACCATGAGAATTTCGGGGGGGGGCTGAAGCCCCCCAGCCCCCCCCCCCCTACATGCCTGCTGGTGGTGGTTCACCTCAGGGCCTTATGAGGGGAAAAAGAAGGTCCTCATAAAGGTTTCTATGGGAGGAGGCCCTTTTATGTGGTGGTGGTGGTTCACCTCTGTATTAAGGCAAAGGTATTTTTGAAGGAAACTAAGCCTTTGAAGGGATTTCTGTTGGAGAAGGCCCCTTTCTGTCTTCCTTCACCTTAGGGCCCTTCCGGGCAGGTCCTATATTCCAGGATCTGATCCTAGGTTTTCTCCGTTAAACTGGATTATGAGTCCACATTGCCAGATAATCTGGGATAAATAGAAAACTTGAGACCAGATCATGGGATATAGGGCCTGTCTGGAAGGGTCCTCAGGGGCCCTTTAGGCTGAAGATGCAGGATTTGGGCTACAATGCTGCCTTAGGGCCTTTGTATATTTTCTCAGGGGGAAAAGAAGGCCCCCCAAATAGGTTTCTTTGGGAGGAGGCCCTTTTCTGTGTTGGTGGTTCACCTCTGTGAGTTTTAAAGCAAAGACCTGTGTAGCTGTGTATTTCTGAGGTGAATTGAAGCCTCTGAAGGGGTTTTAAGGCAAAGGATGCAGGGTTTGGGCTGTGTCTGTGTAGCCTTCTAGGGGTTTTCTGTAGGAGAAGGCCCTTTCTGGGTTGCTGTGAGTTTTCCTGGCTGTATGGCCAGTTTCCAAAAGGATTTTCTCCTGATGTTTTGCCCAAGTTTATGGCAGGCATCCTCAGAGGTTGACTGCCATAGATGTGGACCTCACAGAGGACCTCAAAACCTCTGAGGACGTCTGCTATAGATGTGGGTGAAACGTCAGGAGATAATTTTATTTATTTATTTACTATATTTTATCTCCCGTCTTTCTCGACCCGACAATGCCTTAAACAATTCAACCATTAAACAAACATTCGTTTAAAAAATCTAGACGAGGTTAGAGGAATGCTTCTGGAACATGGCCATATAGCCTGGAAAACTAACAGCAAGCCATTTTTTTTAGTGTCAGGAGCGACTTGAGAAACTGCAAGTCCTTTCTGGTTTGAAAGAATTGGACATTTGCAAGGTCGTTGTCCAGGGGACGCCTGGATGTTTTGCCATCCTGTGGGAGGCTTCTCTCATGTCCCCGCATGGAAAGCTGGCGCTGACAGACGGGAGCTCACCCCGCTCCCTGGATTTGAGCTCCCTGGACTCCAACCGCAGACCTTTCCCTCAGCAGTCCTGCCGGTACAAGGGTTTCACCCAGTGATTCCAACCATAAAAGACTTGGACAACACAAGGCCCTTTCTCTCGTGGTGGGGTGGCACATGGGTTAAACCCTTGTGCTAGCAGGACTGCTGATAGACAGGTCAGTGGTTGGAATTTAGAGAAAGTGGGTTGTGTTTCCTGTGTCAGCTCCAGCTCCCCATGCGGGGACATGAGAGAAGCCTCCTACAAGGATGGTAAAATATTAAAAACATTGGGGCGTCCCTTGGGCAACGTCCTTGTAGACGGCCAATTCTCTCACACCAGAAGCGCTACTGACACAAATCGTGGTGGTAGCTGGCCTCATGGGCCTTTAAGGCTGAAGATGAAGGGGTTGACAGGTCAGCGGTTGGAATCCGGGTAGAGCGGGTTGAGCTCCATCTGTCAGCTTCAGCTCCCCATGCCGGGACATGAGAGAAGCCTCCCACAAGGATAGTAAAACCTCAAAAAAATTGGGGCGTCCCCTGGACAACGTCCTTGTAGACGGCCAATTCTTTCACACCATGACACAAAATCATGGTGTTAGCGCGCCTCAAGGGCCTGTAAGGCTGAAGATGAAGGGTTTGACAGGTCAGCGTTTGGAATCCGGGTAGAGCGGGTGGGGCTCCCTTTGTCAGCTCCAGCTCCCCATGCAGGGATATGAGAGAAGCCCCCCACAAGGATAGTAAAGTAGTAAAAACATCCGAGCGTCCCCTGGGCAACGTCCTTGTAGACGGCCAATTCTCTCACACCAGAAGAGCTGGTAGCTCGCCTCAAGAGCCTTTAAGGCTGAAGATGAAGGGTTTGACAGGTCAGCGGTTGGAATCCGGGTAGAGAGGGTTGAGCTCCCTCTGTCAGCTCCAGCTCCAGGCCTTTAAGGCTGAAGATGGAGGGTTTGGGATGGCCTATGTAACTGTATGTATACAATTCTATGGTGACTTGAAACCTGCGAGGGGTTCGAAGTCCTGTGACTGTTCTGAGGGGGGCTTCCGAGGGAGAAGGCCCTTTCTTTCCGCCATTCTTCCTCCTCCTCTTCTTCTGTCTCCCGGGTGCAGGTGTGGTTCCAGAACCGGCGCGCCAAGTGGAAGAAGCGCAAGAAGACGACGAACGTGTTCCGGGCGCCGGGCACGCTGCTGCCCACGCCGGGCCTGCCCCAGTTCCCCTCCGCCGCCGCTGCCGCCGCGGCCGCCATGGGCGACAGCCTGTGCTCCTTCCACGCCAACGACGGGCGCTGGGCGGCGGCTGCCATGCCGGGCGTGTCGCAGCTGCCGCTTCCCCCGGCGCTGGGCCGGCAGCAGGCCATGGCCCAGTCGCTGTCGCAGTGCAGCCTGGCCGGAGGGCCCCCGCCCAGCCCCATGGGCCTCTCCAACAGCCTCGGCGGCTCCAACGGCGCCGGCCTCCAGTCGCACCTCTACCAGCCCGCCTTCCCCGGCATGGTCCCGGCCGCCCTGCAGGGCCCCAGCAACGTGGCCGGCTCCCCGCAGCTCTGCAGCTCCCCGGACAGCAGCGACGTCTGGCGGGGCACCAGCATCGCCTCCCTCCGCCGCAAGGCCCTCGAGCACACGGTCTCCATGAGCTTCACCTAAAGCACCCCGCCCGCCCGTCCGTCCGCACTGCCCTGGGGCCATCGCGCGATAGGCACCGCTCTCCTTCTCCTGCAGTCTGGGCCGGACAAGGGACAAATTCAGCCCGCTCTCTGGGGGTTTTGGTCTCCAGCTCCTGCCATTCCTAACAGCCTCAGGCCCTTTCCTTTCCCCCCTCAGCCGCTTAAGCGGCTGAGGGGGGAAAGGAAGGGGCCTGGGGCTGTTAGGCTGTTAGGAATGGTGGGACTTGGAGTCCAAAACACCCAGAGGTCGGGCCGAAGTTGGCCCCTGCCTGGCAGACTCCTACCTTGCAGTTTGAGTTGGATTCCACGAGCCTACACTGCCCTATAACCCTGTTTCTGAATCTGCATTATCCTCTTTGAACTGCATCAGAGGAGCCTACCCACACTGCCCTCCCTGTCCTCCCACCCGAAGCAGATAATCCGGATTCAGAAACTGGATCATACCGAGGTGTAGAATGGGCCTGGGTTGTATGAGTCTGCACTGCCTTCCGTGCAGTCCGCCTACATTCTTAGGGCCCTTCCGCACAGCCCTATATCCCAGAATATCAAGGCAGACAATACCACAATATGTGGTTTGAACTGGGTTATTTGAGTCCACACTAATAATGTGGGATTTTCTGCCTTGGTAGTCTAGGATGTAGGGCTGTGTGGAAGGGCATTCCGCCATGGCAGTTACAGTGCAGCTAAACTGCACCAAATACTAACAGCCTACTAGGAGTTGAAGTCCAAAACACCAGGAGGACCGAAGTTTGCCCAGGCCTGGTGTACACTGTAGAGTGAATGCACTTTTAACTGCCATGACTCAATGCAATGGAATAATAGCTGTAGCTTAACAAGGTCCTTAGCCTTCTCTGCCTCACCAAACATAGGGCCCTTCCACACAGCCATATAGCCCACAAATATTTGCTATGAACTGGAATATCTGAGTCCACACAGTCATTTATCCGAATTCAAAGCAGATAATGTGAGATTTTATTCAGTCGTGTGGAAGGGGCCTAAAACTCCTAAGATTCCGTAGTATTCAGCCATGGCGGTGAAGATGGTCTCAAAAGTGCATTAATGCTACAGTGCAGAGCTGTGTAGATGCACCCACAATCTGCATTAAATGGTCAGGGTAGATGGCGCCTCGGTTGCTGCCTTCCCTCTATCCTTCCTTCCTTCCTTTTTTCTTTCCTTTCTTCCCTTTCTCCCTCCTTCCTTCCTTTTTTATTTCTTTCTTTCCTAACTTTCCTCCTTCCTTCCTTCCTTCCTCCCTTCCCTCCTCTCCCTCTCTTCTTCCCTCTCTCCTCCCATCCTTCCTTCCCTCTCTTTCCTTCCCCAATCTCTCTCTCTCTTCCTTCCTTCCTTCCTTCCTTCCTTCCTTCCTTCCTTCCTTCCTTCCTTCCTTCTTTTTTTCTTTCTTCCTTCCTGCCTTTTCTCTTTACTTCCCGCCTTTCTTCCCTCTTTCTTGCCTTCCTTCCTTCTTTCTTTTCTTGCGTCCATCTTTCTTTTCTCCTTCTTTCCTCTCTCTTTCCTTCCTTCTTTTTCTTTTCTTCCTCTCTCCCTCTTACCCTCTCCTTCCTTCCTTCCTTCCTTCTTCCTTCCTTCCTCCTTCTCTCTCCTTCCCTCTCTCCTTCCTTCCTTCCTTCCTTCCTTCCTTCCTTCCTTCCTTCCTTCCTTTTTTCTTTCTTTCTTTCCTACCTTTCCTCCTTCCTTCCTCTCTCCTTCCTTCCTCCCTTCCTCCCCCTCTCTTCTTCCTTCTCTCCTTCCTTCCTTCCTTCCTTCCCTCTCTCATTCCTTCCTTCCTTCTTTCTCTCCATTCTCCCCCCTCCTTTCTCCCTCCCTCCTTTCCTTTTTCCCCCACCCTTTTCTTCACCCCAGAAGCCCCCCCCCCCCTATTTTAATAAAAAGGTAAAAGGAAGGGGAAACAAAACAAAAATGCACCCCACCAGGGAGTCGACTCAGGATTTGAAACCAATGGACTGATTTGTGGGCAGAGAAAATACACACATACACAAAACCACACATATCCACCCCCTCCCCAACCTGTTGTGCAGCCATCGCGTGTCTTAACTAAGGTTTGAAGAGCTCCCTGGCCTGGCAACAGCCCTCCTCCATGTCGGTTTCCTTTCCCCCCTCCGCTCCTGATTCCACCCATGAATGAATGAATGATCCAGCCGTCTGTTGGGCTTTTATTTTTAAAGAGGAAGCACAACAAGGAACCCACGACTATAGATATATAGATAGTCTATATATACACATAATAATAATATAATCTAATATATATATGTACACCAAGGAAGGCCCAAGTTTTGATGGCAGGTTTTTCTTTCAGGGCGAGCTCGGCCTCGGGGTGGCTCTGAGGGAAGGAGACGGAGACGGAGCCCCTTTTGACAAAAGGCGTTTTTCAGCGGCGGGGAAGGGCAGGATTGGCCCAAACGGCTTTGTTTATGGAAATCTCTCCCCCTCCTCTCAAGCAATCCCCTATTTTCCTGGGCGTTTTTAATTTCTAGGAACAAATCCATGGCCAATTGTGGTCGATTTCGGTTGTTCTCCCCTCCAATCTCCTCCTGGCAGGACACGGACTCAAGGCAACCCACCCCCCAAAACATCACAAAAAAAGACTTTGTACAGATAAGAAAGAAAAAAAAAATCAATCAGCTATTTTTCCCCCCTTTTCTGCATGTTCTGGTCCAATCCCAGAGAACAGAAGCTATTTCGAAGAATGAATGAACGAACTGTGAAAATAGGATGTTTTGTGTAGATAAAGCATTCTTGTTACATACTGGTCGATTTGTGATATGTTTAAAAACAAAAAAAGAAGAAGAAAAGGAGAAAAAAAACCTTAACTGTCTGTGCTTATTTATTATGGCATTTTTGGGTTTCTTAATAAATAAATGTTTGAGGCGACTGATATAAAGCATATGGTTTGACTTTCCCCCACGACAAGTTTATATCGAGTTAATGTAAATGGAGAAATAAAATCATTTTCAATACATGATGATGGGAATGGCTGGTGGTGTGGCGCCGAGAAAGAGAGAAAGAGAGAGATTTCCTTTGGAAATAGGTTATTTACCTGATTCTTGTGTGTTTTCCAGGCTATATGGCCATGTTCCAGAAGCATTCTCTCCTGACGTTTCTCCTGCAACTATGGCAGTCATCCTCAGAGGTTGTGAGGATTCCTGCTATAGATGCAGGTGAAACGTCAGGAGAGAATGCTTCTGGAACATGGCCATACAGCCTGGAAACACACAACAACCCAGTGAATCTGAAATGAAAGCCTTCGACAATACATTCTCTCCTGATGTTTCACCTGCATCTATGGCAGGCATTCTCAGAGGTTGTGAGGTCTCACAACCTCTGAGAATTCCTGCCATAGATGCAGGTGAAAGGTCAGGAGAGAATGTTTCTTAAACATGGCCATACAGCCCGGAAAACACACAACAAACCAGTGATTCGACCATGTCTTTCGACAATACATTATCTCCTGATGTTTCAACCTCTGAGGATGCCTGCCATTGATGCAGGCCAATCGTCAGGAGAGAATGCTTCTGGAACATGGCCATACAGCCCGGAAAACTCACAACAACCCAGTGATTCTGGCCGTGAAAGCCTTCAACAATACATTTACCTGATCTTTGTATTACTTCCTAACTTTTGAATACTTCAGCCGAATAAACTTTTCAATCTGTGTGCACTAGGCATAGGCAAACTTTGGCCCTCCCTCCAGCTGTTTTGGACTTCAACTCCTACAATTCTTAACAGCCTCAAGCCCTTTCCTTTCCCCACTCAGGCGCTTAAGTGGCTGCAAGGGGAAATGTTGGGGAATCTGAACTGTTAGGCTCAAAATAATCCTCAGTTATGGTGTTTCCACCATACATATAGTAGCGTACCAGAGGTAAACTTCATAACCAGTAGAAATTTATGTGTGGTGAGCTAGGATAAGCTTTTTCTCCATAGGATGGCACAGAGTCAGTACAATACAATGCAAAAAAAAACCAAAAAAAAAAAAACTTTGGGCACAAGCGCCCTGGGAAGAAGAAGCACAGCTTTCCAGGGAAGCAGTTATTACAAAAGAGATTAGAAAACAGTTTAAAACCACAGTTTAAAAACACAGGTTAATATTACAGGTATGGAACCGAGAGGAGGAAGACTGATGGGAGGGGGTCAAAGCGAGGGGGGGACTCTAAAGGGGATGGGAGGGGCACATTAAAGTTTAGTAGCGTTTCAGTTGTAACATGTTGCTTTAACTACATTCCCAACAGGGTGTTGCCTCGTGAGGTCAGTCTTTAGGTTTAGGTGCAGAGTCAGAACTTTAGGTTCAAAAGAAAAACCTGAAATAAAAGAAATACATTCTTGATAGAAAAGGTCTTGGAGCTAACTAGCTTACTAAATCCCATCTTCTAAGAAAGGTAAAATGTAAAAAGTCAAAAAAGGTCCATGCAGCTACATTTTGCCCAGAAAGAGGCAAAATGCGTCCTTACTGGAAGGAAGAAAAAGCAGAAGAGACTGGAAAATGGCGAATGGCCACATGGCCAGCCCAGGGCAATAAAACTTAAAGAGGAAGTTCCTTCGCAAAATTCCATTGCTACATCATCAAAGGGGGAGGAGACTATGGCAAGGAGGAAAAGTAAGGACAAAGCCCTTTCTGGGAAAACATGCATAGGAATGTGGTGGTGGTGGTGGTGGGGAAGCCCTCAGCCTAATCCTATATCTAGTCTTGCTCCTCATTGAGGTCTGGAAACTTGATGACACAAGAGAGTTTCACAGTCCAGGGATAAAACCCCCAAAAAGAGAGAACAGGGCATAAGGTTGTTAGGAATTATGGGAGCTGAAGTCCAAAATGCCTGGAGGGCCCAAGTTTGCCCATGCCTGCTTTACACTCTAAGAAGGAAGGTGATCATGGAAAAAGCAGCAGCCAGAACTCATTGAAGCTGGAAAAGGTGGCTGATCTGTGAAAGAAATAGCTGCACAGAGAAAGTGGCTGAAACTCTGGAGTCCTTTGTGCTGAATATAAAAACCTTGGTTGGAAAATAAAAGCACAACTTGTCTCGCTACTAGTTTTAGATAAACCCAGCTCTTTTTGCAGAAA